GTGTGAGTGTCTTCAATGTATTCGTTTTTTTTTTTTTTTTTTTTTTTTTTTTTTTTGCTGCTGATGTGTTCCTTTCTGTGTGAGTCTCCAGAAAACTGTAGCTATTTAAAGAAACCCTGGAAATCCCTCTCCCCGAATCTCTCCTTGAACTTGCCCCACTTCCTCTCATGCTCCCGAAGTACCCTGTGCTTGACTCTGAGGTCCCCCTACTTCTTTATGTCACCTCAGTCTGTCTCCTAAACTAGGCTCAGACATGCCAGCGCTGCCGCTGCTCTTGTTCATCTTTGCAGCCCAGAGCCTCATGCTTAGTAGGTTCTTGGAAGACATCTGCTGAACATGCATGTAGTATGCATAATTGAAGTACAGTATAAAAAAGGAAGGGGCTGGCATGACTTCTTAGTAGCTATGGTAAGAAGTGGAAGACAAATACATCTCTCAGACAAGACTCAGGTACATGAAAAGGAAGAATTTGCTTATGTTCTTGCAAAGCCTCTCCCCTGTGTGGAACTGTTGTCTTCTTGAGAAGCACAGTGGGAGCTTTGCTGAGTTGATAAAAATAGCAGGAGTTGTTTACTGTGGTGAGCACAGGATTAACCTTTTGACAGATGGATCTCCACTTCTAAAGAATTTCTTATGAAGTAATTTGAACATATGAAAAGCTACAAAGAGAAGTACACATACCCACTTATGTAGTGCCTAGATCAGTGATGATTGACCTTTTAGAGCTTTCAGTGATGCAACAGCCCACTGCCACTCATGTGCCATAGGTTTGCCACCACTGGCCTAGATGAAGAAATAAAATAGTATGAACACAACTGAAATCCTTTAATTATTATCCTCATTTGGTGTTGTGTAACCTTTCATATACTTTTACATATGTATACTTTATATTCTTTTTTTTTTGTACCGGGGATTGAACCCGAGTCCTTGCGCTTGCAAGGCAGGCCACCGAACCGCTGAACCAAATCCCCGGCCCTACTTTATATATTCATTTGATGTATATTTCTGCTTATATTTTTGCGAACTATTTATTTATATAGTTACTCTGTTGCAACTGTTTTTTTTAACCACATATCTGTGAGATTCATATGAA